GGGTTGAAATTTCGGGAACTTAATCTACATGCACGTACCGCCCCGAATCCCCAAAATGGGCGCCAAGACCCGCGTGGTACCCGCGTACGGGCCCGCCAAAGTTTTTTCGGGGTCAGTCCATAACTCGAGGATCTGAGAAGCTAGAACGCTGAAATCTTGGGATAATGTTCCCCGCCCAACCGGGTATTAGTGGGCTCAAACCCAGCCTCCGGGTAAGCGTGGTACCTGCGTACGAGTGCACCAAATTTTTTTGGTGTAAGTTGATAATTCAATTACCTGAGAAGCTAAAGGAATGTAATTTTAAAAAGATATACCCCGTCCACTATAACTCAAGTACCTGAGAAACTAAAGGAACGCAATTTTAAGAGGATATACCCCGTCCAGCTAAGTCTCAATAGCTCGAACCCAGCTCTCAGGCATGCTTGGTAAACATGCACGGGCCCGTGAAAATTTTGTTCCAGTAAACTGCTAACTCAGGGGCCACGGAAGCTAGAAAGCTGCAATTTTAAGGGGATGTTTCCTGACAGTTCTTCGGCCAGTCTTAATTTGTTAGCTAAAAGCATTTGCCGAAAAAACCGGTGCCGGTAGCAACAAAAACTGCGGGGAACCATGCAAAAAACGCATCTTCGCACTAACCGGTGCCGGTAGCAACAAAAACTGCGGGGAACCATGCAAAAAACGCATCTTCGCACGGGCAGCTCATGCGTTGGCCAATTATTTGCATCTATGCAATGCAGAAAATGACGAGGGGTTATCTGTGTGTGCGTCTGGACCAATTTTTCATCTCGAGACCTACAAAAGCTACAGGGCTGAAACTCTGGGAAATTAATCTACATGCATGTATGGGCCCTCCTCCCCAAAATGGACCTTTTGCAGGTGTGGTACCACGTACGAGCCCGCCAAAGTGTTTTACGGCCAAGCTGCTAACTCGGAAACCAGAGAAGCTGGAAAACTGAAATTTTAAAGGGATGTTTCCAGAGAGACCTGGTGGATAGTCTCAATTATCTTAGCCAGTAGCATTTGCTGAAAAAACCGGTGCCGTTAGCGACAAAAACCCGGGGAACTATGCAAAAAACGCATCTTCGTACCGGCAGTCGGTGCACTGGCCATTTATAAAGTTATAAAATGAACACAGGGACTGCGCGCACAGGTCCCACTAAAGTGTATTACGCTACTGACCTAGCAGTAAGTGATAAACTATC